CCACGCGCCGGAGAAAGGAGCTGTGCGTGGGCTTCACTCGCGGACAAAGGGGCAGCGCGTGAGAGCGCGTGGGAAGGCTTCTCCGGCTGAAATTTTTCCGGCGTGGTTGTCCGGTGAGCGCGCACCTGTCTGTGGGAGGTCGCGGAATTCACCAGAAAACTCATCATCTTCCTTCTTTGAGTTTGAATCTTCAGTGTCTACTCCTTTACCTGTGTCAGTATCTCCTCCTCTTGTTCCTATTCCTTCTATGTCTGATCCTCCTGTGAGTGATCCTCCTATGACTGATCCTCCTGTGAGTGATACATCAAGTACACTAGAGATACGGAAGATTGTGCCACCTGAGTTGGTATATCAAAGAAGGAAACAACCTACATTGTCTCATCAGCAACCTCAATCGTCTGAACCACTGGTAAGTCCTGAATCTCATATTTCTGATCATGATGTTAATACTTCTGATGACTTACCCATTACTACTGATTCTGATGATTTACCCATTGCTCTAAGAAAAGGAAAAAGATCTTGTTCCAAGAAATCTTGTTCCTCGTGTCCCTCTTGTACTCAATACCCTATCTCTCATTTTGTTTCCTCTGTTAATCTTTCTATGCAGCACAAAAGCTTTGTTTCAGCACTAGATTCTATTTCAATCCCAAAATCAGTACATGAAGCCTTGAAAGATGGGAATTGGGCTCAAGCCATGCAAGAGGAGATGAATGCGTTGGAGAAAAATAAAACATGAGAGATTATTGATAGACCTAACGGAAAGAAAGCAGTCGGGTGCAGATGAGTTTATGCCCTGAAATATAATTCTGATGGCACTCTTGAAAGATACAAGGCTCGATTAGTCGTCAAAAATTACACTCAAACCTATGGCATTGATTATAAAGAAACCTTTGCTCCAGTTGCAAAGATGAATACATTGAGAGTCTTGTTATCCCTTGCTGCCTATTACAATTGGGATATAAATCAATTTGATGTGAAAAATGCTTTCCTCAATGGTGAGTTAGAAGAAGTCTACATGGAAATCCTCCGGGTTTTGATTCTGTGAAGAGAGAAAATAAAGTTTGTAAATTAAAAAAGGCCTTGTATGGATTGAAGCAGTCACCTCGTGCCTGGTTTAGAAGGTTTACTAAGGTTATGATGACCTTAGGATACAGACAGAGTCAAGGAGATCACACTCTTTTCTTCAAGCACTCCCAAAATGGGAAGCTTACTGTACTCCTTGTATATGTTGATGATATTATTATCACAGGTGATGATTTTGTGGAGAGACAGATTTTGCAAACACAGCTTGCCTCTGAGTTTGAAGTCAAAGACCTTGGGAAACTAAGATATTTCCTAGGGATAGAAGTAGCTCATTCAAGCAAAGGAATTTTTATCAGCCAGAGGAAATATGTTCTTGATCTTCTCAAAGTTCTCAAAGAAGCAGGAAAGCTCAGGTGTAAACCCTCTAATACTCCTATTGAGCAGAATCACAAGATAGGCTATGAAGAGGAGAGTCCTCCAGTTGATAAAGGACAATATCAACGGCTAGTTGAAAAATTGATATATCTGGCTCATACTAGACCAGACCTAGCTTATGTTGTTAGTGTTGTCAGTCAGTTTATGCACGATCCAAAGGAGAAACACATGCAGGTAGTAGAGAGAATTCTTCAGTATCTTAAAGCTACTCCTGGTAAAGGATTATTATTCTGACGTAATGGCAATCTCTCTTTAGAAGTCTACACTGATGCTGATTATGCTGGATCCGTGACTCACCGTCGATCTACCACTGGTTATTGCATGTTTCTTTGCGGTAACTTGGTGACATGGAGAAGTAAGAAACAAGATGTGGTTGCCAGATCAAGTGCAGAAGCTGAATTTCGAGCTATGGCTCAAGGCATTTGTAAGTTACTGTGGCTGAAAATTGTACTTGATGATCTCAAAATAAAATGTGAGGGACCTATGAAGCTGCTATGTGACAATAAGTCCGCTATTTGTATAGTTCATAATCCGGTTCAACATGATCGGATTAAACATATTGAGGTCAACCGCCATTTCATCAAAGAGAAACTTGATAGCGGGTTGATTACCACTCCATACATTCCCACTGGGCGTCAATTAGCTGATCTATTGACAAAGGGACTTCCTTCAAACAGATTTCAAGAACTTACTAGCAAGCTGGGAATGATAAAATATTTATTTCTCAGCTTGAAGGGAAGTGTTGTAAATATTAGTTATTTACTTAATTATTATTATTTGTTGTATTGGGCCAAGCCCATTAGGTCAAGAATTAGGTCTTTTATTCTCTATAAATAGAAACCTCTTTGTACAGATTATTTACACAATTCAATAATATCTTATAACCCTTTTTCAAGTTTGTTTCATCCATGCAAACGACCAGGAGAATAGCACCTCAAAGGGGGTATACAGATTGGAGATTGATAGCCAACTCAATCAAAGTCCCTGTCCTCCCTATCACTGGCCACAAACTGAATAGCCAAAACTTCATCAAATGGGTGAGATCCATTTGGATATTTCTACAAGGAAAAACACATATCAGTGATGCCAAAAAACCAAAGAAAATGATCCCAACCACCACAAATGGAGACTCGAGAACAGCCTGGTGATGTCATGGCTACTAAACACAAATACCAACGAGATTAGAGAGAACTTCATGTACTATAGCAGGCAAAAGCACCATACAGGTGTAGTTGGGCAAAATAATTGCCAGGTGCGGGATTGGTTGTTGAGATATATAGTCCCACATTGGTTGAAGAGCAACTAATGTGGGAGTTTATAAGGTCTTGGGCACTCCCACCTTTTGAGCTAGCTTTTTTTGTAAAGAACCTTGGGATACACCACCCCAAAAGCTAGCTCAAAGGGTAGGAGTACCCAAGGTCTTATAAACTCCACATTAGTTGCTCTTCAACCAATGTGGGACTATATATCTCAACACGCCCCCTCACGCAAGAGCCCATTGGGCTTGAAGAGTGGACAATGCAACAGGCCCAGCCTACCTGTGCTAAGAAACGCCACAAGAGAAAGTGGGGGGCGACGAGGCTCTGATACCAAAAAAGGTTCTTTACATGGTATCAGAGCTTGAGGTTCGATCCTCACCGCCCCCCCCCCCCCCCACTTTAAAGTGGAAGCACAAAAAAGGTAAACCAAAGATTGGGCCTGTTGCATAATCCACACTTCAAGCCAAGAGGGCTCTTGCGCGAGGGGGCGTGTTGAGATATATAGTCCCACATTGGTTGAAGAGCAACTAATGTAGAGTTTATAAGACCTTAGGTACTCCTACCCTTTGAGCTAGCTTTTGGGGTGGTGTATCCCAAGGTTCTTTAACATGGTATCAGAGCTTGAAGTTCGATCCTCACCGCCCCCCACTTTAAAGTGGAAGCACAAAAAAGGTAAACCAAAGATTGGACCTGTTGCATAATCCACGCTTCAAGCCAAGAGGGCTCTTGCGTGAGGGGGCGTGTTGAGATATATAGTCCCACATTGGTTGAAGAGCAACTAATGTGGAGTTTATAAGACCTTGGGTACTCCTACCCTTTGAGCTAGCTTTTGGGGTGGTGTATCCCAAGATTCTTTACATTGGTCTTGTATCAGTTGACTGCGCGTTTGACCAATGTGCATTAATTGGGCAATTCTTTTGCCCAGCTGCATCTATATGGTGCTTTTGCCACTGTAGCACAACTAAAGAGATTTGGGATGCAAGCAAAGGAGAATTATTCTAATGTGGACAATACCTCTGCCATCTTTGATATCAAGAGCCTACTTCATGAGCTATGACAAGGTGACATCACTGTCACTGAATATTTCAACAGCCTTACTGGCTATTGGCAGCAACTTGACATTTACAAAGTGATCGATCGGAAATGCCTTGAAGACGGCAAGCAATACAAAAAAATCTGCTGGGGAAAGACAAGATCTACAAGTTCATACTTGGGCTCAATAAGAATCTTGAAAAAGACCGTGGGAGGGTTCTTGGAACCAAGCCACTACCAAAGGTTTGAAAGGTATTTTCTAAAGTAAGAAGGGAAGAAAGTAGGAGGAAAATCATGTTAGGAAGCTCAACACCTTACTCAAAAAGCTCATTCAAGGCAGCTAAAGGAAACCAGTCAAATCAACCACACTTCCAACAGAAGAAAAATCGCCAGTGTTGTGAACACTGCTAGAAGATAGGCCATACAAAGGATACATGCTAGTTCATTCGTGGGAAACCAAGTGATGCAGAATCGTCTCGTGGAAGGGAGCATCACGGCAATACAGCCTCTTCAAATATACTTGAGACAGACAAGATAAGTGTTAATTCCGAAGCACAACCCTTCAGCAAGGAGTAGATGGAACTACTGCAGAAACTACTTCAGCACACGACACAAAATGTTGGAACAATTATCTGTAACGCTGACTAATATATCTAGCAATATATTTAATATTAGGTAACTATATCTAATATATCTAATTCCTATTACTAGCAGGGCTTACACATCTAGATCATTGGCCCATCCTTATTTCTTTTGACCTGCTTTTCTAAATAGGGTTCCTAACAGAAGTCATCAACCTTGAGCACATACCCTCATGTCTCCAAATAGCAGACGTATTGACTGAAGCTCTTCCAAAGCTTACTTATGAGGACCTGAGATCCAATCTGCACGTGATAGACATCTATCACCCAGATTGAGGGGCAGTATGGGTGATCAGTTCCTGATTTTCAGCCTGATTTTTACGAGCAAATAGGTTCCTGATTTTCTTCAACAGACAAAATCTTCTGATTCTGTTTTTTATGTACAGCTAGGTGTAGGTATTAGGTCCTATGTTTTAGGCCTAGCTTAGTGTTCAGCCTTTACTGTACAACCTCTACCCAAATTCCCTAATTAAGCTGCCGTTTTGTAATCAAAACTAGGAAAATACAATATTTACTTTAGGACTATTAAATCCGTATAAGCAACACAGTTCCAATCTCCTGATAAAGTAAATAGTTTATTTCGTTATTCAGTTTGAGAAAGGATCCTTACATCAGGTTTTGTGTGCAATGGAGCAAGCGTTGTGACCAACTCCTTTGTATCAGGCCGCTCCCTCGGTTCATATTGCAAACATTTAGATGCAAGATTAACAACTACAGTTGCCTCTTCTGTAGAAAACTTTCCCTCCAAATGTGAATCCATTAAGAGCATGTTGTTTTTTCCCTGTATCATATCAAGTGCCTGCAAACAGAAACAGGTAACTCCATATGGCACCAATCAATAAACCATGATTAAACAACACTAATTATGGTAAGACACATTAAATTTTAGCTCAGATGCTTATCAATAGCAACGGAGAATTCTAATATCATGATATCATCAACTATGAAAAGATGTGAAAAAATTCAATATCTCGAGTTGATAATGACAAAATATCATATTTCCAGTATAGATCACATATAGTAATATCGTTTGAAATATGGTCAAACCCCTACACCACAAATCAAATATGGTCATAACGACCATTTACAAACATAATAATAGTCAAGTCCCAGGTTCTATAGGACAAGCACCGAAGTATTTCAGACCAAAAACACAATAAAAAAATGCAGGCTTCACAGCTTTTACGACGAGGGAGAATCATACAGTATAAATACGTGACAGCAAGCTACTCCTATTATGAAAAAGGCAACAATGGTAGACAGCTTTGATTTATAATTGATGGCTTCTTCTACGTTTGGTAGTTAAGCTCTCTCATTAGAGATAATTAATAACAAAATAATAGTAATAACAATAATAATACAGGCTTGCCAAACGAATGAGCATGTAAAGAAGAAAAAAAATAACAGAGAAATGCAAAAGTTTTGGCAAATAGAAGTCACTTACATGACTCGGAGGGATGTGCTTGCCACTTAGCAGGTCTAGGATAACTGTACCAAAGCTGTAAATGACACTTTCAGGGGTGACCCTTCCTAAAAAGTTAATAAATATAGTGGCAATGAGATAAATTATGAGCGTAACAAGGATAACAGATGACCTGACAGAAATTCCTCTCTCCTTAGTCAAAGTAAAGTCTAATTAGAATGAACAGAGAACAAGTGAAGCAGTAGTTAAGTTAGGGTACCATTTCTTAAGTATTCAGGAGGTGTGTAAGCAAGATTAGTGCTATAACTTTTTCCGTCCCTGCTGTTCTTCATTAAACCAAAACATGAGAGACGTGGATCACCTTCCTAAATGAAGGGTGTATAGGTTAGATAATAGATATGGAGTTGAAAACATGGATAGAAATAGAAATAATAATAATAATAATAATAATAATACAGAAGAAAAGAGAAGAGTAAGAGTAACGTCCAACCTCATCGAAAAGAACTCTATAAGCATTCAAATCATGGTATAAGGGGCGGCCCTCGGAAGTAGAATAATGTAAAGCCTGTGCAATGTAGAGAGCGACTCTTAAGCGCATGACCCACTCAAGGGTGTGATTTTCCCCTGAAAGGAAGGAAAGGGAATTGAGGATGAAGTTGAAGTTGAAGTTGAAGAGATTAAAAAAAAAGGAAGAAGAAGAAGATGAAGAATACTACATACAGTGAAAGAGATGCTTAGCGAGAGTGTCATTAGGCATGTACTCGGCAACAAGAAGCCTCTCGTCGGCATCACAACAGTAACCAATCAAATTAGCAAGCCTAGGATGTCGGAGTTTGCCAACACCAGATGCCTCTTCCACGAATTGCTTGGGATCCGGCCAAGCACCCTTGCTGAACTTCTTAATCGCAATCCAACGGTTCTGGTTGTGGTTGTGGAGACGCCCCTTGTAAACGACGTTCTGTGCCTTCTCCCCACTCTCCGACACGATAAACTCTGAGCTGAAATTGTTGGTGGCGGATTTCAGCTCTGTCAAAGAGAACTCCGTGAAAGATAGGTCAGCTGGGTATGCTTGCCTTTGCAATTGCAATTGAGACTGGTGGTTGTTGTTGTTGTTGTGTAATACAACTTCCTCATGAGTCTCCTTCAGCAACCATGACTGGCAGCAACCCATGGCATAATAGATTACTTCCTAAACACACTCACTCACTCACTATGTATTTCCACAACACAACACAACACAACACAAGTTACACAACCAACAATTATGAATTGATACTTGCGTTTCCGTGTCCCTGCCGTGTGACTCACTTCCTTTCCAGCTAGCGCCCAATTCCAATTGCTTGTTTTTATTCATTTTTTATTATAATTTTTTTTTTTTGAAGATTTTAATAAATTACAGTTCCAGTTCCACGCTGTTGCTCATCGCTATTCCTATTTAGTATCACGACACCAACACTACGCTTCACCTCTCCGCTGCACTCTACTCAATATCCATATACCCATATACTTTTCTTAGCCTTCCATTTTCTTTTTTCTTTTTTCTTTCTGCAACTTATTTCGTAGCCTGACTTTTTCACATCCACTGTTATATGCAAGTTGTTAAAATTATAAAATATAAGATCCTACTGTAAAAAAATTATAAAAACTTAAAAACGTTTGGAATGTTAGTAAAATTATTTTGATGAAAAAAAAAATCGTAAAAATGTAAAATCGTAGTGATAAATCGAGATTTTAACAACTATAGTTATACTAATAAATTAAATATATATTTATAAGGTAGCTCTAATTTTCCTGAATAATCATTTTTTTAAATTAAAGCATGTTATATATGTCTCCCTATTTAATATCTTTAAGTAGAACCGTTATTTATTATTACTTAATTTGGATACACCACCAAATCAATCAAGACTTGCAATTTCATGTAACTTAAATTTGAGTCTAACAGAAAAAAGAAAACATTTAAATGACACTGATTACTCTCATACAGAAAACTTAAATCCAAACATTAATCGTCTATTTATTTATTTTTTTACCGATATTAACTGAATCTTGTTTAAACTTCTGTTAAATTTGAAATCTTAAGGAAATACTGAACATGTAAAAACTATTTAAGACGGGATAAAGTGTCTAACAATTTAACTTTTGTCATATTAAAGTTTGATTTTACCTTTTATAATTTGAACTGGACAACTACCGATCACATGCGGCTGGTACAAAACAAACGATGATACATGTTGTACCTCAGCTTAATTAAGAGTTTTCTTTCATTTATTTATTTATTTATTTTCAGGTACCATAAATTTTGTAGCGTCAGAGGATATCAAACATAATTTATCTTACTAATTCACCATTGAAAATGATGACCAATTTAATGCTACAAACTTACTTCCTTAGTTGAAAGGACACTCAAGTTTATTTATCTCCCAGACGGCAGACACCCACCCCAATTTCACTTTATTTTCCATATAAATAGTTTCCTGGCATTTTTACTGATACAATACAAAAACTAAATATATTAACAGTTTAATTTTTTTAACAAACCATTTATTCATCTAATGCAATGAGTAATGTGTGCATTTAAGTCACATATTACTTCCATATGTAACTTTATGTAAAAATTAGCATAATACAATACAATGCACATTCAAGTCACATAAGTCCTTATGCACATCTTATAGAGCACGATCTATGGCACACATTCAAGTCACATAAGTCCTTATGCACATCTTATAGAGCACGATCTATGGCACACACATTTTGGCTCTTCCATATGTTCGACTTAAACACACATATTCTTTATGCATATTTTACTCGTATTAAATCATTACATAATTTGCGTCAAAAAAATTGAATTGATGATATGTTTAGTTCCTTGCATTGAACGGGTCAAAAAACCTAGTCTTATCTGTTCTCAATCAGTCACACTGTTGAATTTAACTCTTAGGTGATGTTTGGTAGAAGAGAATTTTTTTTATACGAATTTCGAAAATATAGTGGGAAATAAATTTTTCCTGAAATATTACTAAAAAACTATTTGGTAGGCCCACATTTTCCGCAAAATATTTGGTTAATTTTTATACTCTTATTCCCTCAATCGCTTCACTAAGAGTACTATGCCCTTGATCGTGAAATATCAATTGCTTGTCGAACGCTATGAATTGCGAGAACCAGATTTGAACTGGTCACACAACGATTTTCAGTCCTCTGCTAAACCGAATGTATCTATAGAAAAAATGGATATGTTATAGACACATGTATGAGTATTTTATGTAAGAAAATGGATGAAAAAAACCTAGTCTCATCCTTTCTCAAACAGTCAGACTCTTATATTTATTTCTTACACACTTATTCCCTCGATCACCGCACTATCACACTTTTACTCGTTTTTCCTCCTTCAAAAGGTCGTTTATATATATATATGGGAAATAATACTCTCATGCCACATGAGATACTCTCATTTTTCTACACAAATTCGTTTTCCGTGCCAAATAATTCTTCTTTTCTTTTTTAATATAAAATATGGGACCCACAATTAACTTCTCTCTACTTTTTTTCTCTCCTACAATCCTACAACATAAGAAAAGTTAAACCCTATATATATATATATATATATATATATTACTACTCTTTTGTTGCTGTCGATGATTGTCTTCTGCCATACATACATGGATGAATTTGGAATCTCTTTTATTTTATTTTTAAAAAATAATGGGACCCATAGTTGAATTTGTTAGTGCAGGAAATTCAACTTCTCACAAGCAAAATGAGAGAAATAAATCCCTATATATATATATATATATATATATAGGGATAGATTATTCTGCCTATCATTTTTTTTATCTATCACTCTCTAATACCATTAGATCAGAAGAGAGAACAAGACAAATGTTAGTTAAGATTCTGATAATAGTATTGGAGAGTGGTAGGCAAAAAAAATAATAGGTAGAATAACATAGCCCATATATATATATATATATATATATATATATATATATATATATATATATATATAAAAGCTCAAAAATATTTTACATCAGTATAAGTTACACTTCAAAACTTGTTTGTTGATCTTATTATATTCCACTATTCTTATTTATTAGATATTTGAGTCATTAAATACATGCAAATCAATGATCAAGATGTACTATAAGATTTTTTATTCGTACACCGACATAAAATAATCATGCCTCATATATTTAAAATAGTGGAGCCTGAATTTTTATTTTTATTTTTGAAAAGAGGCGATAGTATAATATAAATTTTTCATTTGAAGTTGACAAAAATAATAAAAGTGATGCTTACGACGTAATATTTCTAAAACTTTTAAAATGAGCGAGCATTAGATATATAGCCAAACAAATTAGAAATAATGTTCATCCTTAAAATTTATATAAATTTAAAGGGCGATCACCCCTCCTATCCTATCCTTCACTCCACCACTAATATATATAAGAATAAACTAGTTGGATTGACAATCGATAAACCCAGATAAAAAATAATAAAAGATTGAATGAAAATATATGTGTATATTTTAGTAGTGAAATTATTAATATTATAAATATGAACTTAATATTTTAAACATATAAAATAAACTAATCTAAACACAATTATTACAAGTATTTGTGAATATTCAGCTCAACCAGATGAATCGTCTTCTATTCTTGAATAATAAAATATGGTTATGTTGCCACACCAAAAAAAAAATATGGTTATGTTAGAGAGAGAAAAACAATGGTTATAATTATAATTAAAATAAGGGTTTATTATTTCTCAAATAAATTTATCTCTTATATACACATAAAAAGGATGTGAGACTCATATTTTCTTTTTCTCTCTCTTTTCTTCGTATGGACCCACATGAACTTCGTACACTTTTATGTGTGTAGAAAATAAACAACGTAAGAAACATTAAGGAAAAGATATTGTAACAACCAATTAAGATTACTACCAACCAATTTCACCGTTATATCGATTATGGTGATCCAACAGTTATATTTATTTTTAAATTGTTTATTTCTCTTTTCAATGATGATATCCCATTATTAAAAAATAAGAAAATATTTAAATCCTTAAAGAACTACTTCTAATGATAAGAAAACAATGTTCTTTAGAAATTGGTATAGTTATAAGACTTGCATACTTATATAACAATTGTTTTATAATGTAAAATGTATTTTAGGGGTGATATACATTACACCTTTCTTGTCAAAAACAAAATCGTTAGCCTACAAAAAATTCAAAAACAATATACATTGAGGGAGCGTTTTAAAGAAATTTCAATACCTACGTCATCACCGCGTTTTCAATTGCAAATTATCTTTCAGAAGTAAATATCCGTTTGCTTTGACTGAGCTTTAAGACCCTTCAATTTCTTCAATATGTTAGTGAAATAGTCCTGCAAATACTTCTCTAAGGTAATTATATCTTTTGAATCCACGCCAAGAAGAGTATAAGTCTCTGCCATCGGAACAGAGAAAACAGTATCGCTGGTAAGGACCTGCATATTTTCCCATTAAAGCAATTAGCCAGTTATTAGGCATATTTTAGTGCCACTTAAAAGCAAATAGAAATGCTATATACATACTAAATGCTGCAAATTAATTGTCAGCTAAAATATAAAATATGGTCATGCACCCAACATGATGGCTATGCCAATTCTATACGAAGCAAAATACATGCCCATGTTTTATTTTTATTTTTATTTTTTCTGAGCTTATTTTGCAAAAACGATTAAATTTTGAACATATGACATTAGCACTGTGGGATTGTCCACGAAATAAGATCGTGGAATCTCACAATGAAGATCACGATTTTGACTAGCCCGAGAGGAATAGCTTTTCAAGACGCAGTCCACAAAGCAGATTCAACGACCAAGATCTCGGAACAGAACAAGAAGGTTATGGAAAATTCTAGTCATCAGAACAAGGCAACTAACACATAGGAAATGGTCGATGGGCATGGCACTCAAGGTGAGTTATCAAGGCATTTGATGAATGCTTATTTCATAATTATTATATGAAATTCTGTTAAAAATAAGCAACAGTCAATATAGTGAATGCTCCATGGGTATGATAAATAGAGAAAAGATAGGTAGCAAGTGTTATTCTGTGTATTTATTAAAGCATGTGCAGAAGATGGAGTTCCATAAAAATAGGTAGCTATACTGATAAAACAAATACCTCGGAAAACGCCAATCTGTCAGCAACATCATTTGTCCACTCAAAAAACCGCGTCAACTGACGAGTGAGTCTTAAAATGGAGACCGGAACTGTAGTTACATTAGCATCTTGGCCCGCAAGCCTCTCGCACAAAGTTATGACCTGAAATCACAAAAGATGTGCGAGAGAAGTGAGGCAGGTAAATTAGCATCGAGCAAGCAAGGAAGGCAGATAGCAGAGGTACTTTACCTCTTGGGTTGTCCATGCACGAGGACCAGCAAATGTTAGAAGTTGGCCATTTATTTTTTCATTTCGCAAGGCTATAAATGTCAAGCGAGCTATATCCTAAAAGTAGATAGAGGATAGAAATGATTAGAGGGAAAGAAAAGGGAAGGAGCTTGTGTTGTGTTGTGTTGTGTGTATTAAGTTAACCTGTGTATCCATGTATGCAATTCTGGTTGGGGCATCAGTTCCCCAAACAGATTTCTCTTCGAGGATGGGAACCGCATACTGGCCAATGAGACCCTGCAATAATTAATGGGAGTTCGAAGATGGGAGAAGAACAAAATGGAAATGGAAATGGAAATGGAAATTGAAATTGAAATGGGAAGAAGAAGAAGAAGAAGAAGAAGAGGATTACTTGCATGAAACCACATAAGCGGATGACGAAGTGATTGAGGCCAGAATCACGGAGGAACTTCTCGGTGCAATACTTGATCTCCATGAGTGGGACCTCGGGATGTTTGTCACAGTTGTGGATGGAATAGAAGACGTATTTCTGAATTCCCATTGCTTTAGCACATTGTATGAGAGCAACTTTTCCTTCCCAATCTACCTATATTTAATTTATTTGAAATAGAAATGAGTAATTAGGGAAGGAAAAAAGAAGAATGGGAATTAGTAATTAGGAGTGGAGTTACGGTTTTGATGGGCTCCTCGGGACGGCCGGTGGCACAGTCAATAACAGTATGAATGCCAACCAAAGTAGCAGGAATGGTCTCTGGTTTACTAAGGTCAGCCTGCCAAATTACATTACATTACATTACATTCAACTTAATAATAATTGTAGAATAGAATATTGTACAAGAGAAGAGAAGATAAGAGAAGAGAAGATAAGAGATTGAGATTGAGATTGAGATTACATTGACAACGGTTGCCCCCCAATCGCGAAGGAAGTCAGCAGGAGCAGGGCGAGGCCTGACGAGGCACCTAACGTCGTAGCCTTCGTCGAGTGCCCGCCTCACAATCTGCCTTCCCAGGGTTCCAGTGGCACCAACCACCAGTATATTCGTTGGCCTAACAGGTGTCCCTGGCCCAACATTCACGCATTTCACCCTCACTCCAACTTTTCCTCTTCCTCTTCCTCTTCCTTTTCCTCACAAACAAACAAACACACAAATCAAATCAAATCAAACTGAAATTAAGAAGCGATTGGATAGGATAGGATAGGATTTGAGCAATTAAACCCACCCGCGTCAAGGGAAAGGGGAAACACGAGTCTGGTGGGCGCTACACTGCAGCGCCATGATAGTTGGGTGGCACTCGCACTCGAATTGCCACTGGCACCTGTTGCTGTTGGTGTTGGTAGCCTCAGCAGCGCCATTTTCATTTTTGAGATGGTGAGGAGAGAGAGAGAGAGAAAGATAGATGGATTGCGTTGCAAGTAGGAAGAAGGAGAGGATGATAACAATATTCATATTCATTCATCCTTCTCTATTCCTACATCTGATCCTAATTCCGCCACGTCGCATCACTACTGCACCATCCCCTTTCTCTTGGTCTTCTACCCTTCTATTCTTTTCTCTCTCTCTCTTTCACGCTTTTGTACTTTTTGCATATTTATCAAAATAAATAACCCAACTTTAACTCATTAAATAGGACTATTTATATTTTTGCCAAAAAATTATTATTTATATTAATATACTGACTTATTTATTTAATTATTCGTTATCTATAACTAAAATTTTATAACATGTATGTATCTTATACCCTTACTTATTTATTTACTTATTTATTTATTATAAATAATATTAAAAACTAAGTCTATTTGAAAATTATAAACATTTTTTTAATAATTTATAAACGAACGCAAATGCTTCTATGCTATTTGAGTCGTTTAATAATATTTTTACATCAAAATCTTAGGATTTCCTGAAAAACACGTTTACAATAACTTAAGACAGTGTCTTTGAACATATTCTTAACCTATATAAAGCAAATAAAAAAATAGAAGAGCTTATTTTTTCACTTGACAAACATAGTATTAGTACCTACATTACTTGAAGCCAGAGAGCAAGACATTGACACGAGACATGACTCATAATCATGAGATTAAACCTTCTTTATTTTTTTTTCTCTAAATATACGCCTACCATTTTAACTAATCAATTTTTTTTTCTCATCCGTTTAGTACGTGGAAGAAATTTTATTTTAATTTAGGGTGTGCATGACAATCATTCTATTCCCGAGCACTGTTTCTAAAAAGAAACAATTTTTTTCTATTTCTGTGCCTTGGAACAGTTTCTGAAAAAAAAAAAATGTGTTTGATAACATGTTCCATTTTTATTCCGAGAATGACAATTGTGTTTGATAACACAACAAATAATATAATAAAAATAATTCTTATTAAATATAAATTTTTTTTCGAATCAACATTTTCCTTTCCATATGGTGTGGTTGTGGTGGTGGCGGCGGCGGCAGTACGGTAGTGGCGGCGACAGTTGTGACGATAGTGGCTGCGGCGATGGTGGTGATAATGGTGGCAGCGGCGATGGTGGTGGTAGGGATGGTGGTGGTGGAGGTGACAGCAGTGGCAGCGACAATGGTGGTGGGTATGGTGGTTGGTGGCGGCAACAATGATAGCAGTGACATGATGGTGGTGGTTGTGAAGGCATCATAGTGGTGGTGGTGGTGGCAATGGCTGCGGCGGTGGTGGTAGGTGACAATGGTGGTGGTGATGGTGGCGATGGCTTGGTGATGGTAGTGGTGGCGTTGGTGTAATGGTGGCAATGGTGGTGGTGATGACGGTAATGGTTGTGACGATGGTGGTGGTGGTGGTGGTGGTTGGTGGCGGCGGTAGCGGCGATGGTGGTGAAGACGGTAGTGGTTGCGGCAATGGTAGTGGTGGTTGGTGACAGTGGTGATGATGGTAGTGGTGGCATCGTGGCGGTGGTAATGATGGTGATGGGGTGGTGGCACTGGCGTGTGATGGCGATGGTGGCGGTGACGACAATGGTTGCGATGATGGTGGTGGTGGTTAATGGCGATGATAGTGGTGGTGGTGGTGGCGGCGATGGTAGTTGTGGTGGTGGTGGCGGCATGGTGATAGTGATGGGTGGAGGTGGTGGTAATAGTGGCAGTGACATCATGGTGGTGAGGGGTGGTGACGGCGGCACTAGTGGTACGATGACGGCGGCGACGTTGGTGGCGATAGTCGTGTCGGGATGATGGTAGTGGTGGTGATGATGGTAGAGGTGGAGAGTGATTGAGAGAGATAAGTGTTTCTTATTTTGAGCCCATGAACAAAAAAGCAAAAATTTTTTGATTCTTTTTTTGTTCCCCAGCATAAAAATTAAACCGGTTCATCCCGAAAACAAAAAAATAAACCGATTTTACCAAACGAGTTTCCTATCCATTTCTGTTCCCGGGAACCGAAATTAAAAAAAAAAATGATTCCGGGAAGGTTGTCATGCGCACCCTTAATGTACAGAGACATATTCGATGATATTTCATATGAATACGTATAAAAAAAGAAATTAAATTATTGATAATTGATATTATTAAGGAATTAAATTAATGTGAAAATGTAAAAGAGTAGAACGAATAACACTTTTTTTTTTTTTTTGGACAATCGAATAACATTTTATAATACAAGCATTAAAGCGAAGGTAAAACATGCATTTAAGAAAGTAGAAACAATCAGACATTGCGGGGGGGAGTTTTATTGGTTATGTTTGAAATTAAGATATATTAAATGATGATGTGACGTGGATTAAGAAGAATAATCCAAAGGGCCGTAAGGTTGAAATAGTTCAGCAAGGAGTCCCTTTTTTCTTCTGGGGTTCCAGCCCATGTCCTTGCAAAGTTGATCGTTGTACCAAATATGCAATGCACCAATGCATGACCTCTTGTAGTAACGCCCAGAGTATTTCTTCATATATTCCTCCCAATTCTCAACATCTTTCTTCATCTCCTCAATGTTTGGCACTTGGAATGTCCCATCCAGAAGCTCCGCAACCCAACGGCACCTCATCTCTGATGTATACAGATTTGAAATACTTTCCGAGAACCCAATCACCGCTAATTGTGGAATTTGGGGATGTATGCATTCCCTGATTGACAACCAAACAAAATGTATCATATATGTCATAACTTTTTATAACTTTAACTTGCAAAATGGCATTTCCTCACCTATATAGTGGAATGGTTGAATTCGGAGAGCCTGCTATAAGGTCTTGAAAAGTGGAAGACACAAATATGTCTTTGAGCTTCTTGTCCCCTCTGAACCCAGTTGCTAATATCACCAAATCTGTCTCTGACAGAGACGAGGCTTCTCCATCAACCACCACGCCCTCTTTGCAGAACCAAAATCCCGTAGCTTTCTTCAATGTGATACTTCCCTCTTCCACTTTGTCATAGAATTTCTCAGGCACCGATGAGATCAAACAAGAATTAATCTCTTGGTGAAAGCTATGACTCGGTACCATTCCAAACCTCGTCAATCCCAGCTTCCTTGTTATATGACTCTCGACGAATTTTGAGAATGCCCATCTCTGTTTAGGATCACATCACAATTCAAAAAAAATTATTCTAGGTTACAACAACATAAACGGTTAAGATACAAATTAATAAACGGTTACCAAAGGTGAAAGAAGAGTGGCAATGAGACTGAGGAGGAAGCCTTCATGGGGCTTATGAACCATGAGTTCAGAGAAACGATTAAGATACAAATAACCCAGAGGTATGCCCCACGGAAGGTAGTCTGGAACGTTCCAGTGTTCTGTCCTGTATAGGACTCTGCACGGATACTCTACCCCTGCATACCAATCACCAATCACCACATTCATATGGTCAATAATACTCTAATGTCTACCTTAACTCAACTGCTATACTAGGCTAAGTGAAATATTTGTTTACCGTTAACTGCTGAGCATTCCATTGCGATATCAAGAGCAGATTTCTGTAATCCAACGACGGTGACTTGCTTCCCTTTGACGAACTCGGTCGCAGTTTGACAATCCATGGATGCATAGTCCATGGAGTGTATCACCTTGCCTCCGAAGATTTCTGGTCCATTGTTCGGTGGAAATTCTGGAATGTTGGGAACCTCACTGAACCGACCTATGCAGAGAATCACAAAGTCTACTGTATATACCTGCACACGGAGGAGCACAGAAATGGCAATATATAACTAATCAGTATGCATGGGATGGGCGCATGACGAAGAAGAAGGAGATATGCAATACAATACAATACAATACAACCTCAGTTGAATCGTTTTGGGTATTCTTCACTGAAAGTGTCCATTTTCCTTTGGAGGTGAAAGGTTGACCTGTTCCACCCCAAAGATGCCAAGCTTGCATCTCTTGAAGAGGAGGGCCATGATACTCAATAGATAGGACTTGGGAATTGAAGTTGATATGGTTAAGGAGGTCAAAGTGGTGGGCATAAGCTGTAATATAATTTAGGATCTCATCGTGATCGGGAAATTCTTGTGTTACAGAAGAAGGCCATGGAAAATCTGAGAACTGATATACTGATTTGGGAGTTTGGAGTTTGGTGGTGTCTAAGGTTTTGGTCCATACTCCTCCAATGCTGCTCTTTGCCTCAAAAACGATCGGATGGAACCCTTTTTCTCTGATGTACTTGCACGCAAGGAGTCCACTGATCCCTGCACCTATGATGCCGACTTGCCCCTTCATTGGAATTTGGAACGAGATAAGAGTGGGGGATAGGGATAGGATAGGGTTATCTCCTCTCTGGGAAATTTCTAACATAGTAAACATCCTTTTTAGTCTCGGTCAAAATCTACGAAGTCTTTTTTAGTCCCTGACAATAAAAAAGGATCAAATTGGTCCCTGAAATTACAAAAAAAAGGTCATGTTAGTCTTTGTGTCAACTCCCAAATATGTAGAGTGGCCCTTTTCTTGTACTTCCAGGGACCAATTTGATCTTTTTTTATTGTCAGAGACTGAAAAGGACTTCGTAGATATTGTCAGGGATTAAAAAGGGTGTTTACTCTTTCTAATATACTACCGCCTTACCCTATTTTCCATACATCTATCCTATAAAAATTAAATACCTAAGGACACACAGTAAAACGTCAGCGAAGAAGAGAGAGAAAAGTAAAGTTGCTAGCAACAGATTTATTAAATACAGGTGTCTCATTTTAAACGAGAGTAGTACCCATCATTAAATGCTACCGCCGTACTAAAGTCCTCCTCTCTGATGATAAAAAGATACCACGGGGCACGGGGTCGGTCATTTTTATAATCATTTCATTTCCATTTGAAATATCCCTTACACTGTTTCCTTCTTCTTCATCTTTTTTAAATACAAAAGGCTTCTATTATTATATACGGAATGCTATTTGACGTGAATGTTGTTAAGTATTGATGGGATATTCAAAGTTTTATATAAATTGATGGGACCATGAATTAAATACTTTAGCATTTTCAGTTGAGATATAATATTAGATTTATTTAATGTGATTGGCCTAACATAATTTATTGATGGTGATTAGAGATGTCAAAACTCGCTCAACTCGGCGGGCCAACCCGCCCCACTCGCTAAACGGGATGGAGCGGACTGAGTTTTTTAACTCATCTCAAAAGCGGGGTGGGGCGGGGCGGGTTCATTTTTTGGCGGGTTGACGACGGGCATAAACGGGCCGAGGCGGGTCAATGTAAAGTAGGTTCGGGCTGGCAGGTCGCCAAACGGGGCGGGGCGGACTGAGTTTTTCAGTCCACTTTCAAAAGCAGGACATGGCGAACTGACTCATTTTTTGACGGATTGATGGAATAGGGCGGGGCGGGGCGGGCCGCCCACTTTGCCATCCCTAATGATGATCCCCAAATATTATCATAATCGAGTTGAGCTCAAGGTTGGCAATAATGACATCATTATGAGTTTGTACAAATATAGTTAATTGATAAAGTTAAAGGATTAATGTTTTCATTTTATAAGAGATTTTTTTTTACATATAAATAAAATATATGAAATTTATCTTTTTTATATTTTTTATATGGACCTATATAAATCTTATATGTTTTTATATTATACAAGTAATAATTTTATTTCGTATAATTTGAAAAATATTAATTTTAAAGTTAAATATTAAACATTTCAAATTTCAATATAAAAATTTAGTCAAATTTAACATAATCATGTGTCAATAATGGATCAAAAGGTGGTAGCTCAATTGACGCATGAGAGCTAAGCAGGTGGGGTGAAAGCATATGTTCAAATCTCTTTGGGAGGGGTTTAAAGCCTTAAACCTGGACCCGCCCCGAATCGGATTAGTTGCGAAGTAATGAACTGATTGAGTTTCTCAAGATATCCCTCAGCTGATAGTCGAAAATTATTCTTTTGAGGAATAGAAATCACTAAAGTGGATTTTACTTTTACTAACAAAATATTTTTCACACGGTCAAAGATAGAATCTCTGTCAGTATGGTTAAGGGACCCAACTATATACCAACAGTGTCGGACTTCATTGGTTGTTATTATTATTATTTGTCATATTTTATTAAACTACAAAATGATAAATACTGGGCGAAGTGTAACATCCCGCATAAATCAGGAAGTTAAAATGCAATTATATATGTGAATGCATGCTATGAATTTGAAATATAAGTATGTGTAGGATAGGATTAATTTTAATTACTATACATGTAAAAAAAAAAACCCTAGTTACTACCTAGTGGGTACATAAAATAGTAGTCATTAGGAAAAGTATATTGGGTTCAAATCCCCTCTTAAAGGGCGACGGCCCAAGCTCCCTATGGAGGTTTAAGTCAGCCCAAGATCCTTCCTACTCATGATCCATTAGCTTATCCAAAACAAAATCTGCATGTTAGCTCTTTATTGGTCAAGAATCAAACCACATGTCCACCCTTATCCCTCCTCTCTTTGTGCGTCTAGTGAAGGGGAAAAGCAAATCTGATTGCTTGTCTATTGGTTCAAAAGCAAGTCAGCCTTATCCACCCCATGCAACCAATGAGAGAAAAGCAAATCTAAGTGTGTCCTCTTTTTGGTTCAACATCCAAATTCACTTGTCCCTCTCATTTTTCCTCAATGCCGCAAGCCACAAAGAGAAGAACATATCACCTAAGCTTGCATTTCCTTTCCCTCTCATCTTCTCCTCCAAGCCGCAAGCCCCTTAGAAGAGAACATGAAAACCTAAGCTCACATTCTTCATTCTCCTTCCCTTGTGCGCGGCCGAACCCAAGTCCAAGGAGGTAATGGGTTTTCATTATTTTCTTGTTCATCTCTACCTTATTCAGTTTTGGATTGAGTCCTTTCCCTTGAATGCAGATTGAAATTCGACTTTTTGGGTAGGAGGGGCGTGAAGAAACTTGCACATCACTTGGTGACTGTTCTCCCCTAGCCGATTTGTGAGCCCTTGTGTACATGCAAGATGGTAAAACCGAACATCAAGCTCCTCTTTCATCTCACTGTTTCGGCCCTTACTTGTAGTCTAGGAGGACATAGGTATGTTATTCTCCTTCCCTCGTTTCTGCCTAGTTGGAGAACAACATGATTTCTTGGTGCATGCAAGCACAAATCAACTTTTGAGCTTGGAAGATAGCTCTTCATAGATTTCGGGACTGTTCCTTTGGACTAGCAAAATTTTCTAGCTTTGCATCTGTTAAAAACTATATGGACAGCAAGCTAAAAGCGTAGTTAGCGCACTCCTTAGCCATGTGGGTAACGTTATGTAAATAAAAATTTGAAGCCCCTAGGTGATGGTCTTAAAACCGAACATGCATGTATAGGAAAACTTTGGTTTGGTCATTTGTTAACAATTGGTAAAGTAATCTTAAGTCAGAAAATTAATTTAGTATAAGAATCATGAAATCCGATTAAATTTTAGGATTGGAAGCATGGAAATTTACATGTGACTTATAGGAAAAATAAAATAAAAATTCTGATTTGGTACCTATTTGTATAGGTGTGCAAGCCTCTAGAAAAATGGACTGATTTGGTGATATTGTGGCTAAAACTCTAAAGCATCAAGGTAAGTGTTTGGTGGATTAACCTTTTGTGACTATTAATTTAGGCCGTGGATTTTTGATTTGTTGCTCACATGTATCCATAATATTCTATTTGAAAGCATGTGTAATCTGACCTTGAAGGTAACTTGTTGGAATTCTGTTTTGGAGACACATTCTGTTCGAAATTTGGTGCCATAGTCATGAGACTATGATTTTCTGATTCTGAATTCTGGTCTTGCTCATGAACATCATAAATCCGCATTTTGGTCATGTGTGTGTGAAGCAAAACATAGCATTTCATACATCATTATACATGCTGTTTTGGAAACTGAAATATTTGATGAAATGAAGCATATGTTTGAGCATGCATCATATAGGCATCCCTCAGGTACCAGGGAGAAGGAACCGTGGCTCAGTTCGCATAGGCCTCAATTAGAATTCCCCTCTGTTAGGGCCAAAAGGAATCTCCATTGAGTTTAGTTAGTTAGTATGTGCACTTTAGTGCTATGAACATACGATATTCTGGCGTTATATACGCATTCTGTTCAGTTTTTAAAACCCCGCCTCACCCCCCGGGTTGACCCGGGTCAACCCTGACCCCTCCCCTCTGAGGGTTGGGGTCACAAGTTGGACCCTATATGCATATCGACCCCTCTGACCCCCAAAACCCAGCCGGTTTCAGTGACTCCCGGGTCAGAGGGGTCAAAGAGGGTCATTGCATGCTTTTTTTTTTTTTAAAAAAAATATTCCATGAAACAACATTGTTTTATTAAAAAAATAAAATAAAAGTGCTTGCAAACCTAAATCTAATCGTTCTCTTCTCTCCTAGTGACCTAGACGTTTTCAATCTTCACCTCGCTGCCGTGAATCTTCCAGAAAAGATAAGAATTTTACCCATTCAAATGAAATCCTTACGATCGTCGATGGAAAACAAAACTCATTCTTACTTCCTTTAAATTTTCTTTTGTCAGAGACCTTCTCAAAAGAGGCAGAACCAGGTCAGCGTAGTGACCCCATTAGAATATGAATTTTGTACTTTGGTATTTTGATACTTTAATTAGGTTGTGTAATATTGACTTGTGGTCGTAATTGGTGAATTATGTTAAGTATATTTTGAATCTTTGGGATTGATGGTTTGTTTTTTAATATTTTCATATAGGATATATATATTTATATTTTTTTAATATATAAAACCGGGTCAGCATAGTGACCCCGTGACCCCTGACCTCGGCCGGGTCGATGGTCGGGCCGGGTTTTTAAACACTGATTCAGTTGCATTTTGGTATTTGTTCGGAAAATATTTGATGATGTGACAATTTTGAAAATTCTGTATCTAAATTAATATTGTTGCACTATTGAATTTTCTATCACACTACTGGAAATTTTCTCACCCCTTTTGGGGCTCAATTTTTATAAAATTGTAGGAGGACAAAATAGTATTTGATGAAGTATTTGTCTTGGAAAAATTTCTGTTTAAGTTCACTGTTGTTTGGTCATGCTACGTGTGTTCACTGTTTTTAGCTGATTGGAGTGTTGTACTTTTGGACATGATGTAATATTTTGGAGTTTGGCACATTTTGAAATCGTGTTAAACATTATTGTAGTACATGGTGGTAGCATGAATTTTATATCTTGCATGGAACTCATATAACTATGTACCTCGTACTAAGTGATCAGAATTTCAGTCCTTAAACAAGCTAAGTTTTTAGATTATA